TAAAGATGAAAATTTTAATGCACAGTATGATACATAAAACAGTATTATTCAGCCACATATACATTATCCAAGTTCATTTCCAATTTAAAGTCATAATAATATGTTAAGATGCCACTTGACATTCATTGATACTCTAATATTATTAACAACAAACATGACGCAAAAAGCCATTCCTTAAAGTTATCATATTGGGTTGAGTATAGCTAAAGGAAAATATAATTATTAACAACTAGCGACAAACCATCAAATTGTCAATCGGATAAGTCTAAAACAAAGACAACGCTTGAGATTTTAAACCAGATATAAACAAGCTACATTCTCTTCAGTGGGACAAATTTTGCATTAAAATTATGCGTTTTTTTAGATAGCTATTTCAGCTGTTATGAGTACCTTAGCTGGTAAACATTTATTGTCCTTAATGTCTTGAAACACCGAGTTTGTGAAATAATGTTACTTTTGAAACTAACTTTTACTGTCATTCCGTTCTTAAACATTTGACGTAATCTCTTCAAAATTATTTTGAAAGATTTCGGTTCGCATCAAAGTAAATGGTGATTTAGTTGTTATTCATTCACAGAAGAGAAATTTATTTCCAGAAGTCCATCTTAGTCCGCATAAGAGATAAAATTTAGTTAGTTACTCATAATCCCTACTTCGTTAAACTACAATACTATTGCTGGAGCCAAGGGTTTGAGGTTTGCACTTCACATTCATTAGTTGCATGTATTTACACAGTATCGCACCATGGCTTTTGAAAAATTACTATAGGTGTCAAATGTAACATTTTGGCATTTTTGTAGACTTAAATTTACCTAGATTCGACAATACGCTATTCTGAACAACTAAAGTAGTATAGAAAAGCGGGTGGGTTTTAAGGTTGAAAATATTCATATTAATTAAATAATGCAAGCATCAAAGTAAAACATTGATTGCGAAGTCTTTTCTCTAAAATTTATATGCTCAGAAACATAAACTTGAGATTTTATGGGTACCAATGCCAAGGTTGGAATTAATAGCTTCAAATAAATCCAGCGTAGGGTGAGAAGTTAATGATAAAAATATATTTTGTTACATGCCAATGAGCAGAATAATTGTATTCCTAATCTGTAGACACAGTTTTGTGCAGAAGTGAACAAAATTGTATTTTTCACTCTAACTAAAGCTTTTCTTAGTGTATTAGTTGTCTCATGTAAAGCTTTAATTTAGCATGTAATGGCTTTGTCGTACCTTGGAGGTAAGGAGAAACCGCAGTATCAATCCAAGATATTTCATTAAGACTGTTATTTACAGATAGACAGTTTTGTTTTAATATATTTTTCAATAATATTCTTAGGAAACGTATTAGAATGTGAGATGTTTATTATATTCTCGTTTTATTTTAGTTCGTTTTTTTCTGACGTAATGATCTTGATCGCCTTTCTGTAAAGATTCAGGACTATCAAAACTTTTGCATTGAATGGATATGCAGAGTTAAAATCAATGTATCGGTTTTCGATATATGGCTAGCTTTAGACACAATGTTGTGTATACAGATTATGCTGTGTTGATTTCGGTGCGTTCTATGGTAGAGAACCTTCCCGTGAGATCTCAACACGTGCCAAAAAACACTTAAGGTACATGAAAAGACCTAATAATTTTACAGGTTAAATCAGCAATAGCAGCATATGCTCTTTTCCATAGTCACCAAATCGACATTTAAATACCAAAATAATCCAGAAAAGTTTTTACAGATATAAAGAGAGGCGAGTACCCGAATCGTTTCATGTGATGCTAAATTCTTTTGCCCTCAATCGGAAAGAAGGTCTGAATATTCATCCAACCTGGACTATTTATCCATGAACTGTAGTAAACAAAAACATGAGTGGGGACAACCAAATGTATATGAACACGAAATTACAGAATATCTCACTAAAATCTCAGAATCATACCTTAAATCTTTAATTTGAAAAATATCAATCCACTGTCTCAAACTTGACTGTTTTTTTTGAAAATATCAGTCCATCGTCTCAGATTTCATTGTTTCTGTATTTTCATGTCAATCGCCTTCCAATCTCGTTCTTTCCTTCTCGATCTTCTACTGAAATACATTCTATTCCTGACAATCGTTATATAATACTTATGTGTATATAAGCAGAGCACACCACACAACCACATCTAACCTTATTTATTTTCCACACATTCTACACACATATACACACTTAATTTTAGCCCCGCTACTTGATTCCACAAATGCAAACATTTTCCATTCTCACACTCTAGCACACAAATTAATACAGTGACATGTCATACAAATTTGCCTTGACCAGAACCAAATTGACATTGAAGTATTCAGACCTATTAGAATTTGATTGTGTCGAAAATATTCTGCATTGTTTTATTTATACTACGTGAACTTGTGTCAACTTAATTCAACTACTTAATTTGCTCCGAATAAGTGGCTTACATTAAGCGACAAAACGTTATAAATACAATTTTTGTACTCATTGACATGTAACATAAAATATATTTATTATAGGCTTAATATATTAACCAAGACTTACTACATGTTTTGTGTTGTCTTCCAAAGCCTTTTCGTATGAGTCAATCATGTTAAGGTCTTTTTCAAAAGCCAGATAGTCTACAAAACCAGGATTAGTTAGTGATTTATAACGCTGAATGAGTGACATCATTTCTTCATCACTGACGTCCTTCGGACCAGGAAACCCTCTAAAAAACTGCAAACATTGTCAAAAATTTGTGAAGGTTTACAGACTTGGCTTTCGGTCACTTCACCTAAGTTATGAACATCGTACTGTTTATAACATTGACGTATTATATAACCTTGGTTACAGATAAATTGATTGATTCTGGAAAGCAGTGGTTTTATATATTCCAATTTTTCCTCATTGTACAGCTTATACTGTGATTTTGTGCCTACGATCGGAGATCTAATCGGTTAAAGGTAGTGAATAATTTACTCGATTGTTTGGAGAACCTTGGATTCCGGTGTTACACTAAAATCATTTTCATTATATTTACCTTCTATTTCACGAACAAATTTTCTCCAGTTAATATATCGGTTCCCATTAATCCCATATTTTTTAAAAATAAGTTCTTCCTGCGAAACGTCAAGTGGAACGCCGATCAGATTTCTTAAGATTCTTAAGAATTGGTTTCCTGAAATTTATGGATTCATGTTTATACTATATTACCAGTGATATATCCAGATCTTAAGTTATCGTAATCCAGAAAGTTTTCATCAAATCTGCATCGACGATCTTTTGCAATGTTTCGGATGTAGTTTTCAACACTTTGCACTGCATCCAAAGCCATAAGAAAATCAAATTTGCTCTGAGGCGTTACTAACACTATTTTTATAGGATGATTTAATAAAACAAATATTATAAACTTCACAATTTAGGATTATTGACAAAAGTAGTTGACATTTTTAACTGTTGTCTTAACTGTGTACAACTATCGTAAATGTAAATATATATTAACCAGTAATGTGTTGAACTAGTAGTGTGTTCAGCTTTTCCAGACCCAAATCGTTCTACACTCTTCAACGTAGTCAGTTAAGACTGTAAGTACTACTGATCCAGTAGTGAATTCCACAAAATCTTATTGTGGTCGTTTAACTGCTGAGATTTTCTCATCTAACATGCAAATAATATTTTCTTGTATTCTGTTTAGTCTCAAGGAGTATATGCCTCATGTTGAAAAGACAAGTGTGAAGGGTGGTACACCTTTTCATAATCAAAAAAACAATACCCAATATCGTTATAGCTACTGTATATTAGTAAGTTTATCTTCTATCGTGTCTTGGTGTTAACTATCTGTTCTGGACCGTTTGACAACATCAAAAGATAGTACTCTCAACATCTGACTGCAGAATTCTTAATTAATTGGATAGTTGCCCATGAGTTCTTACGTACTGAGTATAAATGAGTGCGCCACTCATCTAAAGTACAAATGACTTTCTGTTTAAATTTTCGTATGCTGATTTTATTACAGCATCAGTGGCACTAATTCTAATTAGAGATCATGTGAGCTATTAAGGTTTTGGTTATGAGAAGACGGCGGAAATGGGATTAAAATAAGCCATCTCAGCACCTTATAATGGTTGCATTTATATTAACATAAAGTTAGCGTTGTCCAGTAGAATAAATCTCCAAACTAAATACTTTCGTAAGTCTTCGATACTTGATACTGACCTTATTAGTTTATTGGACACAGCCTAGCTGAAGACCCTAAGTCATGCATCTGCTGTGCTACGCATCGCTTACAACCATTAGCTAGCTTAGAATAAATGCTTCTCGAGATATCGATAGCCTTAGGTTGGCATACTTCGATTATAAAAGTGTTACAGATAGTGACGTTTTCAAACTCCGGATAGTTGTGGCGTTGAAGATGTTACTTGATCTTTGTTTGGTCGCTTCAAAACTCTGCTGTTAGCTATTCATGACTAACATTGTGGAAAGAAGTGTAGAACATTATGAATTAGAATTAACTCTAATTGTTAAACTAATTTTAATGAAGCTTGTCGTACAATAATTGAGGAATTTATTCATGTTCAGTATATATGACTTGGTAGTTTAGTCACGTTTGTTAGTTAAATCATTTCGAACTATTAATTTTACGAATTAAATGCGTTCACCGAACCGATGACTAATTAATATCATGTTCTGCTCGTTCAAATTTAATTAATGACCGAATATTTTAAGTGATATGTCTCATACCACATATTGGTTTTTTATCAGTTGTGCCTCACCATTGCAATCAGGAGTTCATACATAAGAAAATAATGATTTACAATCATCCGTTATTTGTTTTATCGTGCCATACTGGCCTTGTTCCATTCAATGACTAGAAAGTAGCCGTTTTATTTCATAGCTATAGCAATCATCCATACCACCAACATTCTTAGAAACAATTGCGACATCGTCGGTAATCATGATATTGTTTCCTAAATATTTTTTATCACTTCCGTTTTAAATAATGTTCACTTTTGTACGCAACGCATGGGTTGGTGAGTTCAAACGCTGACATTGCTATTCAATTACATCAGACTTCTGCCAATGAAAGTAACGCGAGTCTTGTACTACAAACGCTCTTATAGTTTAAATAATTAGATAGATTTCTGTGATCAGATAGTGGCTATGCATCCACCATTTCTTGACCCTCAATAGACATTTGACTCTCTCTCTCCTTGTTCTAGTAGCAAAACTTGCAGTAAGGCGGTTCACAGACGAACTCACATTTTGACTGAAAACCTCAAGAGTGGACTGTGATTCTAACAGTGGCACAACAAGGGGCTATTCTAAGGTGTACACTAATAATCGAATCTTCTACGGATCCCTTAGAATACTCTAATTCATCAACTGTTGTCTACACAGACTAAATTACATGGTAGTGAACTTTTATAAATCGTAAAGATTTACCGCAGCTCTAAGGATATCTGTAACTACCCAAACAGTGAAGGAGTCACGGAGGTTTGCTAGCCAGAGTGCTAAGATGTAAATCAATATTCCTTTCTTACTTCAGAAAAGCAAGAGATTCCCTTTACAACAAAAGTGATCTGGTCATGGCGAATAGCATATTAAGACAACCAGATCAACCCAGAAAGCCACTTTCACCTCAAGCCTATGGTTATGTTCCACGAAGAGACTTTCGAAAAATCAAACGTCAAAGAGAGGAGACTAATGTGAGTTCTTATATTTTACTCCAAGTTTATCCTACCTAAAAAGCCTTCTCAATCAAAGTTACATAGTATTCTCCAGTAGATGGTTTCAATTAAAAGCTTCATAATCGTGTAATCGGCCATGGATTTTCGTCTTTGAACAGGGGTGGCTACTTTTCACAAACATCTCTGTTTCAGACCGCTGAAACCACATTTATGAAACACTTGGCTTCGTCTCACTCTGTCATTGTGAACTCAGGATATGCAATAAAAAGCTATTCTTACCTATTTCTTTTTCCTATTTTCCCTGCATGGTCTGCCACCCTCTATGTAGAACACTTGATAAGAATATGGACGATCTTGTTGTATTTCTGACCGTCTAAAAACTCCTGAAACGAATTAACTTTTTGTCGACCATTCTACGATGGCCATTTTTAATGATCTAACACTTAATCCCTTTTTATATTGATGTGTTTATTTCAGTTTGGCACGTTGGCAGCATCTAAACACATAGTTGGAGTCCCGTAAAGTTTATATTGCTGGAGATTCCATAATAAAAACACATCAAAGGCCACATGTCTATATGTTAGGTTTTCTCTTAGTTCACTTTTGCCTTATGTTTTCTTGATCTCAAAGAACCAATCATAGCTTCTCCCTTGACACAGTGGTCGAGCTTGCCTATCTTAATGATCCAGCCGTCCTGTAGTGACTAAATTACGCATCCTTTTGTATTCTGACATTTCAGGCAGGTCGATCAAAGAACAGTAAGGCTAAAAAAAGGGACCTAAGGGCCGAGGGTGAAGTCGCATTGTTGACCGTAGAGGGTATCTGACAAGAGTAAGATTTTCTTCTTTGACAATCAGCATTTGCAGAGGCACACCCTTTCTACAACAGAAGAAAAATACTAGGAAACGATGACTCCGAAAATGTCACACCCATATTACCAAACGAACTCCAGCCTCCAGCGTTAAGGCCTCTTGAATTGCGAAACTAACACATGGGAAATGTTTTACTAAAAAGGTGTGAGCGGCTGACCTTAAGCAGTTGTCCATTGAGCTCTGAGCTCAAGCTCTCAGGTCGATAAGACCACAATTAACTTGACCTCTTTTTCAGATCCCTTAGGAAGAAATGGCTCAACAATGTGAGATACCGCCCTCATACCTCCTTCAGTATCTAAAATCATCGTGTTAGCAACCAAATTCCTCCCCCATATATAATTAATTCTTCTGTCTTCACCACTAAATGTCCTCGTATATCTTTAACGTCAAGCTGTACTAATGATAACTATTTGAATTTACGAAATTATATTCCTGGTCTCGTTGAAAAGCACTCAAAATATTATGTCAAAGCTTCTAACGTTCAAACCCCGCATCATGTATGATAACTGACTTCTTTAGCTAGCACTATGGGATATTGCGCCATTCATGAATCCCGCCTCCCTATAGCGCGCATATGGGATAAAAGTATAGTCATTCATTTGACTGCACCATGCTAAGAAAAAACTGGCATGATTAGATTTTCGAGTACTTGGACATCCCACTAGTTCTTCCTGTGACCACGCTGTAGGTATAGCGATAATTTCCAAGGCAGAACAGGTTGGATTCCAATAGACAGTCGCTAATGTGCTGTTCGACTTAAGAAGATAGTCAGGACTGGAAAAGATAAGGGGTGCAAGCCATTGGTTTTTCGCTGTCTCTGCTTACACTCCCAGTAACTGCAACTCGAACGGAGTGAAAGATGAATTTCGTAGTAAGCAGTCCAACTTCACACCAAAGACGTGACTTAAAAAGAAACATTGTGTGACGCGGAGGCCTTCACACTCGACTGACCAACAGATTGAAATAGATTGCACTACGATTAGCCTTTGTTGAAGAGGCTTGATAGAAGACCATTTCTCATTATGGAGAGAATGTTTAGACTCGGATCACGTCGGCGAGCGAGCACGAGTTTGCCTGCCACAGCGAGGAAACCCCTTAAAGTTTGGCTTAATCAGTTGCCCACCACTTCCGAACAACCTCAATGGCAAATTGTTGTAGTCTACCCAACTCTTAGTGAGGTTGAAATGTTTATGAGGAATCTAACGCAATGGAGGTTAACAGGACGTAATGTCTCAACTTCTACGATTTCAAGAGATTATCCAGTTCAAGCGATTGGACTGACTGAACTTCCAGCTAGAATCTTTGAACTGAACGTCATCCCATTTAAACTTTCTCGATCGCCGATCATCCCAATCTATAAGAATGAAAAAATTCCTTTTGTAATAATCTTAGGGATCAGTTTGACTAACACAGTGTCCAAGATCTTAGGCCAAATAACACTTTAACCCTTAACTAAGGCGCGTGAACAGCGAACCCGAGGAAAGCAAACTGTTTTCGGGTCTGGACGGGGATGTGTAAACCAAATATTTATTCTTCGGTAAAATCTGAAACAAAGGTATACTTTTTGACGTGCAGCTGTAGTTGTGTTCCTTGACTTTAAGGGATCGTTTGAATATGTTGATCATGAGTTTATATCCCAGTGTCTGTGTTAAAAATCTTATGAAAATGTACAGGAGTCTTGTTTAGTCTGTTTATTAGAACACGATTGGCCGAGTAAAGGCTTATGGTATACGGGATATTGACGAAAGATTCCACTGTGTTTCGCAAAGTGTTTAAGAAAGCTAGCGGGACGAGTAATGAAACTTTTTAGGTGGTTTGAATATAGTCGCGAACAACTATTCAGAACCTCGCAAAATTCTGGCAAATGTTATCTCGTTAAATACTGACCATCTACTCCATTCACATCTCGTTCCTTGTATATCATCATTTAGAACGAGACATCAATACATGCACTCAAGCAAAGGCATAAAATCGCAATAATGTTGTGTGTAGTATATATTATACGTGACGAATGGGCTGTAAGAGCTGACCGAGTATAGAACTTGACTTTTCAAGAGTCCTGCCAAATAAAATTTGTATTTTTCGTTATATTTTTGAAGATATTCCACTTATTCTACGAAAAGCTCTTTACTTATTTCGTGTATACATACACGTAGTTATCGATTCACTTCCCTTCCATATGAAATTTTTTTGAAATGTGTACTGAGAACTCCATACTGTACTAAACATATATAAAGTCAATAATGATAAAAATAACAAAAAAGAAATGACTTCTTTTTTTCAACTTGTATGCATGCTAAGGGGATTTGTGAGGAAATCTGACGAAGAGAAGAACAAGAGGACCATATTGGCAGTCAGTAACAACTATCAGTATAGTAAATACATTTAAGGCTGCCTGAAGGTCGAAATTAGGTATCAGTTTAAGACTTTCTAACATTTCATAGCCCTCTCAGTAAAGACGTATCACCTTAGTTTTTGTCAAAGTTAAAGGATAAAGTCGATCCTCATCTCTGTGACATATTGAAACATCCTGACCCTCTTTCAAATGATGTGATCAAACGTGCATCTTTGAAAAATACATAACTAGGAAAAATATAATCACTTGTATCTCATCGTAGATTTATTATAAGGTCAATTTTGATTATTAATATTCCAGCTCTGACTGGCACAAGTAATGTGCCATGCTTTTGTAATTCATACGCCACTCAAGGTCACCTTTGTCACTGGTTTCACAGTACAGTAAGTACCTAGTAACAAACTTTGCCGTCGATTGACAATTTTGAGCGCTTGTTTTCCTGATTTAAAGACTGCAAGTTGATTCCATCTTCTCCTTTAGTTCAAATTAAATGCACGTATATGTTTAGTTTTTGTTATTTGACATAGAATAAAAAGTTAACTTTTGATTGATTTGGGAGACCTCATGTACAGAAATATCATATGAGAATCAGCTACGGAAAAATAGTGACTGAACTTTGATCACTCTGATTGGGCACTATGTCTATGTTGTTCTTGTATATCAGACTTGAGTTAGATAGATGCTGACAAGTGTAATACAGATAAGCTAGACTTGTAGGGAATTTATAAGTAGTCATATAAGGAAAGGACCAATTAGTGAACTTACTACTTATGAGTTTGGAATTAGTTGAAGTACCTAAGGTTGAACATAAGAGTGCTCAAAACGGCAATTGTTTCTGTGAGTTTTAGATGTAAAGTGTGAAACACTGGACAGTGAGCACTGGGAATCTCTTAATTTGTTGCCTATTTTTTAACTTTTGTCGGGAAATCTGTTCAGTCATTACGACATTCACTTCCTAGAATAAAGTACCGCTTCCTCTTGTCCGTGTTTTAGTAATGCTCTATGATGACCGTCATCTGTTTTATCCGGTCGCCATGAATAAACGTATTCTGATCAGGTGTTTTGTACCGTTTGGGCGACAAATCATACTTTATCCTTTCGTCACTTATAATTAGTTAGAACTAGTTGTTTTACGTCGTTTTAAGTCCTTGATCTTGTTTAGTGATAAGTTGTGGTTGTGTCCGAGATGTTGCTTATCAAAGTCCCAGTGACTAAATAGACTCGGCTTTGTCAGACACGTAGTCTCAAACTTAGCAAGTCGTGATGCTGGACAAATCTCCACTTTACGACTTCATAATTGTTTTCTTAGGCTACTGAATCATCCTGGTAATTGCTACAGTGTACCGATGTGGGCGATGGATATATAAAGTTTAGTGATACTAAAAATAATCTAGAATAGGTGACCCTGAACTATAAGTAAACTATCGACCAGTCCAGGTTTTAGAAAATTCATACTCATTTTTAAGTCCCTATTACTGTTTGTATAGCCATTCAGTTAGTCTGAACACCATTGAGAATTGTAGTAGAAGTGTTTTTTCTAGAATATCTTTTCAACTATAGTAGAGGACTAAAAGACGAAGAGAAACTTGTCCAATATAATTGTAGTTAAGATTGAGGTAACTAGAGTCTTCGGTGAGCTTGTTTTTTAACTACCAGGTTTTGTGAAAGTTGTTTTTCAACATAGTCTTCCTATTGAATTCATACATCGCAGTAGATAGTTTTAAACTTCAATAATTATCTTATTACTTCTTTGCATGATAGCACTGATCTATACTTATACCATCCCTTGATTTCTAGAGATGGAACTGATTGTGTTGTAAAGTCAACTGCTGTTAACATTCCCATAAAACTAGTTCTTAGACGTCTTGTGAGGTATAATTTTGATTATCTGTAATTTAATTCAATTGGTTCGACTTAACAACATGCTGGAAACTCGTATACTAAGTTTCGAGTCACTTTCTTCAGGCCTGGTGCTACTACTCGGCTACAGAAACTGAAGTAAATGAGGAGCATTTTAAGTCTCAGGTTTAGTGGTGTAAAATCAGGTGCTTTCAATGTAAGGCATGGCAATAGGCAGGAGGAATGTGTGGTCATTATGCGAAGTTACAAAACCTTTACATAATACTTACACATAGCATTCAATCGTCCATTTGCAGCTTCCACTGTGTTATGCAATCTGAACTGTTTTCTCAACTAGCTTCCAAGCTTTTTACCATCACCGTGCTTTTGATGCACTGAAACCCTTCACTCTGTTAGACGATTGTTGCAAATTTGACACCACGTCCTGATGCACACTAACAAACACCTTTGTGAATACCGTCCACTACATTAATACCTAAGCCGTTGCTTCGAAAAAAATAATCAAGAACGGTCCCATGAAAATTATATGCAGATAATATGAAGGGTCCTGTTGTCAATGAATCTGAAGAATAGTATTGATTTTATAAGATATGATTTTAAAGCTTTTTAAATGGCATATCATAAATTGTGTACGAAACGACATCCACTAAACAATACCGTACCAATATCTGCCATAGTCATTTTTAAAGACAGTGCACTTGTATAACGCTTATGTGATCGAAACTAGTTTCTTTTAGGACGCCAATCCGTTTACCTGTATGTTTATATCCTTACAGTATACCATGGAGTTTCATTCCTACCACACAGACATGAAGTTTTCCGTTTCAGGTCACCCATTCTCAAAGGAACTATCTTGTTATGTCTTTGTCCAGTGGAAGTTTATTACGCTCAGCCCAACTAGGTAATAAAGTTTAGTTCTTTCAACGTTTTCAGTATTTTTTAGACAACCTTTCAGATGCGCAGGAATTAAAAAAAAGAAGAACTACGCCGAGACCCCTTCTAGGTACCGACCTTCTGTACTTGTGAAGACTCTTCGTGGTTTTCAGTTTAATGATGGAGATTATGTCTATAAAGGTGATATCTTAGTTCGGCAGGTACATTGTTTTATTGGTCTTTGTTCATTTGTAAAGCGGTTGTGCCGTTGATATCGCTATTTTGTTGCAAGCGATAAAAGTATGTATAAAGCAGAGGGTAACATATGTGAACGTATATATATCCATAGAATACCATATAACAAGGAGCTGATAAGATGAAATTCTTCTCTTTTGTAGAATATGTCATTAGGGCTGGGTAATTTATGGGGTTTTTTTGCACGACTACGTGAAACTCGTGAGCAGTCCGTCAATCATGACCAATACAAAGCCTGGCACAAATCCGAAGTTGCCATATTACACTAGGACAGAGGGCCGGAATAGTGTGGTAAGTGCTAGTGAGGAAGACCAAATGTGGGGAATATGGTGTGAAACGACAATGAGAAGAGATATATGAAGGGATACTGAACTCCAGATCTAGAGTACGATAAAGTTGGCACGTTTATTTCATTATGACTGCTTCTGGATCATGTCACTCCAACCACCAATCACACAGACTTCAACCAAGTAGTCAGCATCCACCAAAATGGGTCAATCAAATAGTCACAGGCTTTATGAACTGATGTCACGTTTTGGTTTGGTTATCCCTGGCATTTTTACAGCTTTCTATTACAACAGACAGCATTCCCCGCCAATGTAAGAAGTTGGGCGTACATAATACATGTCCCAACCACCTCAATCGATGAAGATTCTAGGCGGTATATGTTTAGGGTCTATACATCGTTATGTAGATTCTTTGAATCTTAATTCTTGGTCGATTAACTTTGGTTCACCCTAGCTATGTCTTGCATTTGTAAACAAGCCATGTTTGCTGAAAGGATATTTATGAAACATCACAATTGTTTTCGCTTTCTCCAATTTTAATATCGACCTGTAATTCAGTGTAATGATCATCTGTTTTATCGAGTTTGTTTTATTCATATCTTTTAAGTGTAATCGACTCATCGTATTATGTATGAGATCGTAGGATATACACAAGTTTGGAGGATATTCACATATCCAGTTCATCAAAACAATCCATAATGGATGGTTAAGCAGAATATAATACAAATTTTAACTAAAATATTTGGTACCAAAAATTGCTTTCTGGTTACTCATCCAGTTAAGTTTCTCAATGTAGTTGGAGAGACTTTCACTGTTCTGTAGAGTTTGCTTTGTTAGCATTTTCTCTAAGTACGTTTCGTAGCACCTATGAAGTGACAAGCGCCCTGGTACAGTTGAGGATTGGGAGAGTCCACTCTGAATGTTCTAATATAACCACGCGCATATAGCTACGACCAAGAAATTCCTACTAACTGCCTTCTCGTGGTAGGGGTATTGTTTAGAGAAGTAAGAGAGGATAAGGAGAATGTCCAGCGCTTGCATCGGGTTAGTGGATACAGAAAATCCACCTGGAGAAGTTGGAAACCAGATTCAAACCAATAGTGCGAATTTAATTAATTAATTTATTTTAACACATAGGTATTGGTACAAGGAGGCACCAAGTACATATGCGCCACACGAATCTCAATTGATTTGTGTGAGGGCTGTGATACTGCTCGGGTGCCCAAACCGAAGCAGGTGGTTTTCTTAGGGGGCCACACCCCGAGCCTTCGACCTGAACGTCTGATCCACAAGGCAGTGGAGCATCGTAAAAGATGCAGTCCCATGGTAGCCGGTGAGCAACGATTGGTTCATACACCATTTGTTCCTTCAGGATACTGGAGCCCATGTGTACCATTGGTTTGGGATCCGGTTAAAGCGCCGGGCATTCGCTTTTCGTCCTCTCATTTTCGTAAACAACACCCCCGCCACGTGAAGGCAGTGAGTAGGACTTCCCTGGCAGGGGCTATGTACGCGTGGCCATGTGAGAGCATTTCGAGAGGGAGAGCGGACTCTCCCCACTCTCGGCGGTACCAGGGCATTTGGGGGCAATAGTGCGGGTTAGGCACGGTTTCTTAACCTCACCACTTCTCTTCAACTTTGCCATCGATGGTGTTCTGAAAATGACTTTGATGGAAGTAGGTAATTGTGGTATGGATCTGTTAACTGGAGAAAGTATTTTCGATCTTGAATATGGGGATGATATTGAATTACTTCAGCCATGCAATCTGCACTTCATCAGTGTCCGTAGGTATGGCTTATACTTTGGACCTCCTAAGTGCTAAGTACTTTCGCAAGACTGACGAGCATGTGCTTGCACTCACTCTTGGTAGTGAGCAGTTGGAAATAACCAAAAAATTAGTAAGTACTAGTGGCACCATGACTGATGAGATCAACTTACGTTTAGTGTAGCCTTTGCCAGTTTGGGCTATTGTTGCAGCCTTCGTGATATTAGTCAGACTGTGAAAAGTTAGGTCTACGGTGCGTCGTTCAGAGCAATTTCTCTCTATACTTGTAAAACCTGGCCTCCGGGTTGAGGATGTTAAACAGCTCTCTATGTGTGATGATCGTTGTCTTATCAGGATTGCTGACATTTTATCGCAACACCACGTTAGTAATGCAGAGGTTCGGCTTCATGTGTTCGTGCACAATGATGGCAATCCAAATGGTGCTATCGGCTTTGGTTGCTTGGGCCCTACGCTATGAATGTTGTCCCGGCAAATTCTACATTATTCATTGTTTGCAGACTCCAGAAGTGGTTGGAAAAGCGGAGAGGTAATCAATTTATGGCATAGTGCCTCAGCATGAAAGAAAGCTATATAAGACTCAAATCTTTCGGTCCTCCACGCCTTCCTGGTTGGATTCCTAGATATATTGCTATATCGTAATTTAAGACGTTATTAAACAGCTCAGAATAAAAGCCACTGATAATCCTGCTGTAACTTTCTTTTAATCACTCTAGAAAAGTGCGAGAAACTTCTTTAAGTGAAAGAATTCTTCCTGATTGTATTTTCCTAACTGAACTAGTCCTACTACTCTCATTCCCTTACTTTTATTAATTTCTTGCTTTTATAAAGACTATATTCGCCTTCTTTCCTATATTCTGTCACAGTCTCATTTACTTATTGTGTGGCTCATATTTATTTTAGTGCCCCCTTTGTGCCAATATCTTTATTTTTAAATAATACATAATAATAATGATAATTAAAACAATCTACTGACCATTTTAGATGCTCCCTACCTGTGAACTTGTTAATCACGGTTTATATATCTAGTTTCTGCATTATCATATTTACTGATTCCGTAGGTACAAATGTACATTAGATAGAATAACAGAAAACTAATCGAGAAATCATGTTTCACAGAATTATTTTGTAGTAACAACCTAGAGTTGTTAGTTAGTTGGAAATATAAATCAACAGGATTCCGAACTAAATCACGATAGTCATATTATGCATAGTGTTTTTTCATAGATATTTTCGTTTATTACTGTATTCGAAAGTTTACTGGAATTTTTTTCCAATCTTTTAGCTTGGTATGGAAATATACCCGGGTGAATCTGTCAAATTAGACCCAGAAACATGGAACTTAGTAGCACTAAGTAATGGACGTTTTACTATTAGTACAGAAAAGCTTTCACCGTTTCCTGACAGCCCTTTGTATGATAACGTGAAGAACGGTGAAGTAATTTATAAACCATTTGTTCATGTTATTAGTGATCCAATCGAACCACTATATAAACTTAAGCGCATTTTGTAACTAGTGATAATTATAGCTATCATACTCAACAAATTGATTTGCTTTCTAACTTTTTCTGACGTTATTCACCTCGTTAAATCTTTGTTGTGTAACGTCATATCTGTTTATCGTCAGTTTTATTTATACAACTAAGTTCCGGAAAACGTTTGGAGAACCACATTAAGATGATTAATTATTTCGAATATTAGGGAAATAGAGTTCTCATTTTCATATTTCCATCAAGGATGTTAGACGGATTGGAAAAACGCTTTAAATGCTTCATTTCGTTATATATATATAGTATTTAAATTTAATTTTCTTTGTACCATGTTTTAGGATTTTGTGAAATTTTGATAGACTTCTGAATGTCAATACTCTAATCTATTAGTTCATATTCAATGAATTCTTTATCGTTATCATGCAATCTAAATTAAGGTGCGTTATCCAAATCTTACCTTCGGTCAATGGTTAGTTAAGGTTATTAAATTCCGAACACCATATATGAACTAATTGTAATGCGAATAATTTCCAAGTTGAGTGAACAATGATTGAGAAAATTAAAGGTATCTAAGCTCACGGCCCCTGACTGTGAGAAGTAGTACTTTCTACAGTAGAAATGGATACTTGAATCAATGAAGTTGATTTTCATCATTTATTAGTTATTCAATGTCAAAGTCACTATCAACAACCTTTGTTCCAATTTTTTAGTTACGTTTTCTGACTGGATATATTTCCGACTACTTTTAGCCAATATAGTAGCGTATATGCCGACAATTACTTAGGTTTTAAGCTCTAAAGGTCAGTCTAACCCATAAAATATCACAAATATCTTTAGTCTTCAAGTTAAGTCGTCTTAATATTATTTTCTTTCTTAATCCAACTAAGTTTCGGTACATCAGGTTTTGCTGCTACTCGGAGGTTCATTATATACTCCATGTACAAGTAACTAAGGGTAGTTGGAAACCAGTTGAAATATTCCCAACAGTATTTTGTTCATCAACTTAGACGGCTCGTCTAAAGCGATATTTTTTCCGAATGCTGACCTCTTAATTCTTAGTACGCATTCTCGGACTTTTCAATTTCTTAAAGCTAGTTAAATTAGAGGTTAGAAAGGGCGGATATCATAGGTAATTCGGATAGGCAGGTCGCAAGAGTATTTAATAGGATTCAAAGACCGTCTATTTCTATCCACCACTACTCATTTTTCCGTCCATATTGCTTTCTTAATTCTTGACGACTCGCGATCATCACTTAAATCTTTGGGATTTCTATCAGTCTTTTCTACGATTTCTACAACAAGCTGAAGATAATGCTAAGCTCCCTTGAAATGGGGACTTTCAGAGATTCTATAGCTAATCTTTTCCTGAATATCTGATTGACATTATCTTGACTAATTTCCATGG